GTTTGATATTTAGCCATATATGCTAATTTTGTTACTTTTTCAATTATTAATTTTTTTTGGTTATTTTTGCAATTGACCCAAACTAAAATATCTCAAGAAAAAACTCAAATATACTTTGAATATTGATTTTATAATACTAGATTATGACCTTTCTGATAGGGAAAATAACAAATTAATAGCTAGCAGCTAGCAATACAAATTAGAGGAGAATGTTATTCTTGTTTCTTTTCTTTTTCTACATTTATGGGAAAGAGAGATGTTCCAGTACACACTCTCTTATGCAACCTCATCTTGATGTTGCCTTGTCAATGTTGTCATCTCAATTAGTCCTGTGCTTTCTTCTTGAGTTCCTTCTCGTTGAAGCTTCTTGCCTTGACCGGACCACATGGTGTTCTTGTAACAGACAACTATCGTGGTGAGAACAATCCCTAGGAGCTGCATGAAGGACCATGGCCTCACAAAGTGCTCAAAGGCTGTGAGGATCACCGATACCAGCCCGTCGAGCCATCCGAAGTCATTCCCTATGCCAATGAGTTTGAACACTGAAGCAAAATGTAGGTAAGCAAAAACAAAGGTTAGAAATAGTGCCAAATCCACTTCGTTAGGGTCACAGAACACGTCTCCAAGAAACACTATCAACCTAAGAACAGTGATTTCAATTAATGATTTATTTAGTTGGCCCAAGTTTCCTAATGCTTCCCTAAACCAAACTAGTCTATCAGATTCCTTATGGTTGACAAGAAATATCTCGCCTACACCAACCAACATTATGACTAGATAATAAACAGTTTGAAGAAATACACCACGATATTGGTGCCAAAGACTTAAAAACAATCCTATATGATGATGTATTGCTGGTGCAGGAGCTAAAGGACAGGGACATTGAGAAAGATTTTCAGAAGCAATACCATTGCCCATATGCAAACGCCAGTATGTACTCAAAGCAAAACTCACAAAAAAAAACTAGGTATGTAGCAATTGCATGGGCGATTAAAAACCATTGAAGATTATATAAGTACTCTAAGCCCCATGCTATGAATCTAAATAGCATACTAACCAAGAACCATAAAAGTCTCCACGCACCACCACAAAGTCCAATAACAAGACGACACATTATATGGTGTAAACGAGAAAAAAATCGAAAATTAGAGTAAAAGAAAAGAATGCTCCCTTCGTGTGTTTTCCTCTAATGAGTTTTCCGGCGACGCAATCAGAGAAGTTGCCGACGAGTCGTCGACTTGAGATCTCTTCGTGTGTGTTCCCTTCTTACGAGTTTTCCGGCGAGGAGATCAAAGAAGTTGCCGACGAGTCCTCTACGACGGAGATTTCTTCGTGTGTTGCCTTCTTACGAGTTTTACGGTGAGGCAATCGGAGAAGTTGCCGACGACAATTAGAGATGACTTCTTGGACCTTTTCTTGAAATTCTCTAATGCTCTCGGAGGGAAAATTTTATCGCGTT